CTTGAGCAAAAGAGCTCAGGGGCAGTGCCCGGGCCCTGAGTTCAAGCCCCATGACTGACTAAAAACAAAACAAAAAACAGAGCAGAGATATGGAGAATGGACTGAAAAAATATCCCAAGATACAAGAAAGAAAGACTGGGGTATAGGAAGTGGTAAGATTTATCAAAGTTTTTGGATTCTCAACCTGGATTAACTAAATCTGTCCATAGAGAGACTTAGAGAATATGCTCCTAGTGCCTGAATTCATCATAGCCAGAAACAAAACCAGCCCAGGTATGGCCCACTTCTATAGTAATTCTATTCAGCACTAATAAGGAATGAAGGGTATGGATCAAATGACTTCAAGGTAAAAGAAGCCAGGCACACTATTTACGTAAAATTCTACAACAGCCAAACTACTCCTTGATGGAAAAATATCGGAACAGTAGTTTCCTCTGGAGGAGGAGGGTTGCAAGGCAGACACTGCAGTTGGGCGGTGTAGTAGCTGTACATCCAAAACCTAGGGAAGGGCATTTCAGGAATGAGGAACTTTCTGGAATGGTGGTGAAGATCAACATCTTGATAGGTGCTTGGGTGACAAGGGAAAAGGATGCCTGTAATATCAGCAGGTGGGAGGGTGAAGCAGGAGGACTGCAAGTTGAAGGCCAGCCTGGACTACACAGCAAGATCCTAAGAGGTCATTTTGCTTTTCTCCTGCTTGTATGACTGATGAATGGCTATAGTTTATCTCTTGTCTTTCCACAATGCAAGTCCCAAGAGCTCAGGGAACTTAATTGGCTCCTTCACTACTGTAAGGCAGTATCTGGCAATGAGGTGATAGTACTCAACAAATACTCATTAAAGGAAGAAAACTCGATTTGATCAATGTTCCTGATGCAATCATCAGGTTCAAACACTCTATTAATTCAAGTGAAACAGGTTTTTTGTCCCCTTCACTGAGGCTTTAAACAGGTAGTTTAAAACAGAGTTTGAATCTTACCAAAAGGTTGCTCAGAGATTCAAACCTTTTAGTGCTTCAACATTTCCCATGACTGAAATAATTTGGGATTCTGATTAAAAAGTTTTTGGCTGGGTCTGGTGACGCATGACTGTAATTCCAGCATTTAGGGGGCGTAGGCAAGAGGATGAGTTAAAACCAGCCTTGGCTGAGTTACATAGCAAGTTTATGTCTCAAAAAAACAACAAGAAAAATGTTTTGTCAGGCACGGGTGGCTTACATATGTAACCCTAGCTACTTGGGAGGACGAGAATGGAAGGACTGTAGTACAAGATAAGCCCAGGCAAAATGTTCACAGATCCTCATCTCAACAGAAAAATCTGGGCATGGTAATTTACACCTGTCATCTCAGCTACAGCAGCAAAGTCTAATAGGAGGATCAAATTTCAGGCCAGCTTGGACAAAAAGAGACCTGTCATTTCAAAAATAACCAAGGTAAAGGACCAGAGAGTGACTCAAATGGCAGAGTGTCTCTGCCTAGCAGGTGTGAGGCCCAGTTCAAACCTCAATGCTACCACCAAAAAAAAGTTTTTTGTATGCAACAATCATTATTATCAATTGTTAACTAAGGGTAGATTATGAACAACCTATTTTTCATTTTTTAAATTCTTTATAAGTATAAAATCTGATATCAGTATATAGTCAGAATACTCAAATAGAAGTTTGGGGGGATTTTTTTTTTTTTGTCAGTCATGGGCTTGAACTCTGGGCCTGGGCACTGTCCCTCAGCTCTTCAGCTCAAGGTAAGTGCTCTACCACTTGAGCCACAGCACCACTTCCGGTTTTCTGGTGGTTTATTGGAGATAAGAGTCTCTTGGACTTTGCTGCCCAGGCTGCCTTTGAACCACGAGTCTCAGATCTCAGCCTCCTGAGGAGCTAGGATTACAGGCGTGAGCCACCGGCGCCTGGCTTCAAATATAAGTTTTTTTTAGAGACAAGCAATTAAATATTCCACTTGACAACATATAATCACATTCATGGGCTAAATCACATTTTAATAAATTAAACAATTATGTTACAAGTGTTTGCAGAATAATACAACATGTGATAACAACAAAGACCCTGAGTAAAATATTCTGGGTCCAAATCTAGCCTCTGCCACTTGCTGTGTGCAATTTACTAAACTTTTTTATACCACTTTTTTAATACCACTGTAGTTCTGCAGACCACAGAACTATTAAAGGAAAGAAAAAAGAATCAGACACTTAAAATAGTCAAGGTTAGCCCTTAAGTCCAAATAAAGGATTCTCTCTATTATATGGTAGACCATGACCTGATTTCTGCCTACATACTTGCAGGATCTTGAAAGTGGAAAGGACCTTTCAGTGGAAAGGTCCTTGCATTCTATATACCTTGCTTATGTATAGCCAGGTATGGTAGCTCACCTGTAATCCTAGATACTCAAGAGGCTGAGACTGGGAAAATGGTGGCTCAAGGCTATCCCAGGCTAAAGGTTAACAAGATCCTATTTCAGCCGAAACAAAACTGGTTGTGAGTGCCAGCCTTTGGGGAAGAGAGGAGACTGAATGTGCAGCTACCATCTCAGCAGCTACTTGGGAACCATAAATAGGAAGATTAAAGTCCAGGATATGCATGGAAATGTCGTAATGAAATCCCCCCTTATATAGCAAAGAAAAGTAGGAGAGGAAGGAAGGAAGGAAGGAGTCAGGCAGGCAGAAAGGAAGGCAGGCAAGTAAGCAAAGCAAGAGCTCAGATCAGTCCAGGGGAAACAGTGAAGCCTTATTCAAAAAAAGGTCTGGGAATGTGGCTTTATGTTAGAGTGCTTGACTAGCATGTATGAAGCCCTGGGTTCAATTCCTCAGTACCATATGAACAGAAAAAGCCAGAAGTGGCATGTGGTTCAAGTGGTAGAGTGCTAGCCTTGAGCAAAAGAAGCTGAGGTGCAAGGCCTTGAATTCAGATCTCAGTACCATATCACACACACAAAGGCTGAAACCACCAAACCTCTAAAAGAGCTCAGATGAAATAGCAATATATATGATGCACTGTTGGTAGGCAGAAGTTTGTCATCAACTGCACAAAGGCATTCATCTTTCAGAAACACTCACACAGCACACATACACATGTACAAAGTTTCTCTTGGTGCAATGTGTCCAACACTGGAATAAACTGCAAATAACCTATAGAATTCCACATTCTATGAAAGGTTAACACACTATGGAACTTCTAGAAAAGTAGAAAGAATAGGTCAGTCTATATAAAGACAAAGTTTCAAGACCCATTTTTAAGCATAAAACATCAAGTTGCAGAATAGGTACCATATGGTATATTTGTAAGAAAATATGCATTTATAAAATTTAACATGAAATCTTTGCAAACACATGCATTTATACACATTTGTCAATAAATGTAAAAAGAAATAAAAAATAAAATGTAACCCAAACTGGTAACAGTTCTTTGGAGTGGACAGCTTGGTGAAGAGGATGAGATTGTGTGTGTGTGTGTGTCTGTCTGTCTGTGTGTGTCTGTGTCTATGGGTAAAGAGGAATTTACATGATTTTTACAAGATTATATAGAGATGTGTATATATAAACATATAGGTACATATAAACATATGTAACTACATACAGGATCATATATACCTATGTACATGCATACATGTACACATAGATCTATGTATAGAGAGAAATGTATATTTCATTTTTAATTGAGAAATGTATTTTTAATTGGAGAAAAAAGAACCATTATGAATGATACTGATATACACTGTATCAGTGAGTGAAGAAGGCAGAAGGAAATTCACTGAAAGTGGCTGAATAATAAAAGTAGAGATGGGGAAAGTGAGAGCGGTAAGGGGGTCAAATCTAATTAAAGTACTGTATATGCATGTATGAAATACAACAGTAAACCTCCTTTGAACAAAGAACACACACACACACTCACACACACACACAAATGACAAGAAAGTAAATAGTTCCTGTCTTGAATGGAAGTATTAAGTATCAGTATCAGTGGGGGCCAGGGGGGAGAATGGCGAGTGGAAGAGGTGAATATGGTTAAAATATTTTATGTATGTTTGTGGAGTTTCTTGAGATTGGTTTGGGTAGGAGGGGAGATGAGGGAGGGGGAGGGGTTAAGTCCCATGAAGATGCGTTGTATGGTAAGTGGACATTTCCAAATGAAATTGATACTAACAAATACGGGGAAATGATTAGTTGCCTGGAGTAAAACTAAAATGAACATTTTAAAATGTATTTTCAACATAAGCCCTACTTGGCCAAATTGAAGCATTTCCTCCATGTAACCTCTTTTCTCCCACACTTTCTAATTTAGATAATTATAAAAATGTTGCACTTGCAATCCCTTCTATTGTAATCCAACTTTTTAAAAAGGCGTGGTCTTGTGTTTCCAAGAAGGAGGTATTCGAAAGTAAAGAAGGAAGGATACAGAAGAGTGTCGAGTCCAACAGCACATCCAAAGCTGTAAAGTCTTGGGTTTGGTTGCATTTTGACGCGCAGATCTCCGCTTTGTAGCCATGTCTAGGATTCTTGTTTGACCGAAAGGGAAAGGGGTGGCTGGCAGCGAGGCCAGGGCAGCGAGGCCAAGAGCGGCGGGTGCGAGAGGCCAGGGGACCGGGGGCCCCTGAACAGAGCGGCGGGAAGGGCCGCGGCGCCCCGGGATTACCATCGCGGGTTCCCGGGTGAATGCCTGGCTGGAAAAGCCTCGAGGGGACGCTGGAGAGGACGGAGGGAGGACGAGGGGATGGACGCGCGGACAGAGGGCCAGCGGAGGGCCTTGTCGAAGCCCCACAAAGCGGGGCCGCCCGCCCAGGTGTGTGGGGGCTCGGAGGCCGCGCCCGAGGGTGGAGAGAGGGGGGACAGGACCGACTCGATGGGGAACAGCAAGGACCCATCCACCGGCGCCCCCACCCCACGCACTGTCGTACCCCAGTATCACAACCGTTCTCCATCCGCGCTGGAAACGCCCTCGGCTCCGCGGACAGACCCAGCGAAGGCTTCTCTCACCCCCGAGCTTCACTTACCCGCAGCCTCCGACCCGAGCAGCGCACCTGCGGCACCTCACGCTGAAAAGCTGGAACCACCGCCACCCGCCTGCGCGCGCACACACCCGGATCCACTAGAGCCGTAACCACTTCCGGGCCAGAGGCTGCTCAGAAGGATGTCATACCAGCTGGAGTGCGGAGATGGGAGGCGCCATCTTGTACGGAAGCCCTGGGGGCGGCTGTTAATCCAGTTTATTCACTGTTGAACAAAGGACCTATGAAAATGGGGAAGGCTGAACGTTCCTTCAGAAAAGTGGTGTTATTATTTCTGCGATACTATTTGTGTGCTATGTTTTGGCTTTGAAGGAGGAAGCTTATAAAACCTTCACGATTGCCATGTACAATTTTTGAATCTTTATTACCTCGGTAGTGTTTTGCTACTACAGTTCTTTTTATTTATTTCTTTGTTTCCCCCCAGTACTGGGGCTTGAACTCAGGGCCTGCGCACTGTCCCTGAGGCTTCTCTTGCTCAAGGCTAGCACTCTACCACTTGAGCCACAGCACCGCTTCTGGCCTTTTTCTGTGTTTGTGGTACTGAGGAATCGAACCCAGGACTTCATGTACTAGGCAAGCACTCTACCACTAAGCCACATTCCCAGACTTCTACATTACTTTTCTTAACTGTGAAATGATGACAGTTCATAGGAGAGACAGTGTGTTTAAATAATAATATATTCCTCATTACCAGTATATATCATGTTATAATCATCAATAGTTTATGCCATTCTTTTATAATAATCATAATGTCACCTATTTATCTATTAAATTATTTTGCTCAGTAGTTAACAATTGTTCTATGTCAGGCAAGTAATGTGTGTTGTATGCTATTCCTTTGTCATGGAATGTGTGAATCTTGTTAATTGATTGGCTCAGGTATTTTGTTATAGTGATTGAAAATTGTCTAACACACACATGAATGTGTACACACACACAATTATTTCTCTTTTTTTAATTTCATATTGGACAATCAGGAGACTTTAAAGCTTGAATTGTACTATGTTGGGCCCCAGATTTCTCGTTAAATTTATCAAACCCAACAAATCCTTACTCATGCTGCAAACTAGCTCCTCCCTCCTCCCTATGCAGCATATGTTGTACCTCTCTCCGCTTGAACCCTGTGAAATATCCTAGAGTGCTGTTTCTCATTTTGTATTATTATTATTAGTTGGCAGGATTTTGCTATGTATGTTGCCCAGGCTGGCCTTGAATTTGTTATGCTCCTGCCTCAGCCTTCTGAGTGCCGAGATTACAAGCATGTGCACCTGTCATCCTTTTGCATACCCTCTGAACAAAAAACTATCCTGGTTATGAAGAAATTGTTCCTCAGTTTCAAATTCCACCTCTTTGGGACTGGAACTGGATCCCTGAAGTCCACATTTTTCTTTGCTCCCTTGGTCTCTGTTAGGTTCTACCAATAGTGGGACATCAGAAGGCAGAATGAAGGTAGAAAGGATTTGCGCCTTCCTGTTTGCTTCCTGTTTCTATTGGTATCACCCAGGCAACAGCTCTCCATGCCAGCTGCAGCATGGGTTCAAGCTCTGGACGTCTCTGCACGCTCAGAGCTAGCCTCATCACATTCCCTCAGAGGAGTTAGCACCTGCCAGCCACAACCTTTCTCAGAGGTATGAGGCAACACTATACGGTCCCTCTTCTGGGATGCTAAGATACCAGTTTAAGCCAGGCAGCATTTTCAACTCAGAGTCTGGGCTTCAGTAATCTGAGCTTTAACCCTTTTGTCTTCTCATCTTAAGATTCCTACCTCTTCCTCTTCCTTCTACTTTTCCTGTAGTTCTCCATTATCTGTGACATCAATAATTCTTTTTTTGGTGAGGGCAGTGTGGTAACCAGTGGGGAGGGAAGGGGTGGGAAGGGCCGCCCCTGCGCTGACATCATCATGCAGCAGGCTGTAGCAGGAGGAGGGAAAGACATCAAGAGACTGTTGTCACTGTTCTGGGGCCGACTGCTGGAGGGGGTGGGGCATCCAGCGGTTGGACAGTGGGAGGCTTGGGGGATGGGCCTGAGTGGCAGTTGAAACCGTTGGAGCCGTTGGAGGGAGGGGGAGGGGCACAGTGTTTTGAGGAGCAGGGGTGGAGAGAGAGACATGGTGGGGAGAAAACAGAAAAGGCACCTACTGGAGCAAACCAGGGCAGGCCTAAGAGAGGCCTCTCCTGGAGCAGAGTAGAGCAATGCTCCAGCCTGTGGAGAGGCTTCTACAGGAGCAGAGCAGGACAGCCTATGGAGAGGCATGAGGCCTGCAGAGAGGCCTGCGGAGAGGCCTGGGAAGGAAAAGGGAAAGCCTTCTCTTTTGGAAGTTTGGAGCTTTTGGGGGTCTGGGGTTTGGAGGTTGGCAGACCAACTAATAAAGGTAAGGGCTGCCCGTTGGAGGCTTGGAGGTTTGGTGGTTGAGGCTGATCTTGGTTCTGGGTATGTAGCCCAGGAAAAGGGAGTCGCAGACCCCTTTTCTGCTGTAAATAAAATTCTTTTGTCACCTTTAACTGTGTCTGGATGGATTGTCTGGCTCTCCAGTCATGATAGGCGGGTTATTGGTTGGCGCTTGAACTCAGAGCCTGGGTACTGCCCCCTGAGCTTTTTTGCTCAATGCTATCCCTCTTACCACTTTGAGCCACAGCATCACTTCGTTTTCTGGTGGTTATTTGGAGATAAGAGGCTCACGGACTTTACTGTCCAGCTGACTTTGAACTGTGATCCCCAGATCTCAGCCTCTTGAGGTGCCAGGATTACAGGCTCATGGTAATGCCCAGCAAAAACAGTTTTAGGGGTTTTCTTTTCTTTTTTTCCCCCTTTTTTGTTTTTGTTTCTGGGTTTTATTTATTTATTTATTGGTCTGTTTTTGTCTTGTCTTTTTTAGTACTGGGACTTGTCAAACCCAGGGTGTTGTGCTTGGTAGGCAAGCACTTAGCCACTGAGCTACCTCTCAGCCCTTATTTTTTCTTTTCCAGTCCTGGGGCTTGAACTCTGGTTCATGTGCTGTCCCTAAGCTTTTTTTTGGTCGGTCACGGGGCTTGACCTCTAGGTCTGGGTCCTGTCCCTGAGCTCTTCAGCTCTAGGCTAGCATTCTACCACTTGCACCACAGCACCACTTCCGGCTTTTTCTGTTTATGTGGTGCTGAGGAATCAAACCCAGGGCCTCATGCATGCAAGGCAAGCACTCTACTGCTGAGCCACCTTCCCAGTCCCCTCCCTGAGCTTTTTCGCTGAAGACAAAAGCACCACTATCCTTTTGGCTCTTTGATATTTTTAATTGGAGATAAGAGTCTCACAGATTTTTCTGCCCAGGCTAGCTTCCAATCACAATCCTCAGATCTCAGCTTCCTAAGTAGCTAGGATTAGAGGTATGAGCCACCAGCACCTAGCTAAACGTGGCAGTTAAAGAGAGATTAGTACACTCATATTCACAGCAGCATTATTCATAATAGCTAAAATGTGGAGTAGCCCAAGTATCTATCAACAGATGAATGGCTAAGCAAAATGTAGTAACTACCACAGAATCTTTCTCAACCTTAAAAAGAAAAATAATTCTAATGTATTAACTATGACATCTGGAATACATTTCAATAAGAGAAATAAGTCAGTTACAAAAAGACAAATACAGCAGGATGCTATTTAAAAGAGGCAATCAGAATAGTTAAAATCATACAGACAAGCTGGGCATGGTACAGCAAGTCAGTAATCCCAGCATTTTGGAGGCTGAGAACATTATGAATCTAATATCCACCTGGGTTATATAGCAAAACTCTGTCTTAAAAATCCAAGGGCTTGGGCTGGGAAGGTGGCTCAGTGGTAGAGGACTTGCCTTGCATGCATGAGGCCCTGGGTTTGATTCCTCAGCACCACATAAGCAAAAAGAAATAAAAGCCGGAAGTGACACTGTGGCCAGCGCTAGACTTGAGCTGAAGAGCTGAGGGACAGCACTCAGGCCCAGAGGTCAGGCCCCACGACCGGACCCCCCCCCCAAAAAAAAAATCCAAGGGCTTGGGCTGGGAAGGTGGCTAGTGGTAGAGTGCTTGCCTTGCATGCATGAGGCCCTGGGTTCGATTCCTCAGCACCACATAAGCAGAAAAAGCCAGAAGTGGCATTGT